CTGGTGTTTTTTCTACTGGGGCATTCTGCCTAAAGCAGTCGTTGAGTCACTTTACTTCGGTTCCAGTGTAAAATGAAATATCATGAGTTGTACACCATCCTTATAAAAACTCTAAGCCAACACCGGGTCAACAAAACTGATAGGCTGATATATATATATATATAACCAAATCACTTTATAAATTCATTTTATTGAAGTTTTTATATATAGCTTGTTGGCGTAACGTTATCATAAAAGTGAGGCTAGTTCCGATGATCCTGAATAAGTAAGAGAAGCCTCGGAAAGCCAGCAGAAATGCATGTATACACTAAGACTCACCCGAAGGATGTGGACTCTCACACACAACTTCGTCTTCCCAGTTCTTCCTCTGCATCCAAAGCGATGCTAAGGAACAGTTCGTATTAGCTGAGGTCGTATCAGGCCAAGATCATCTCAGTTGCGGGATAAAAGTCTGGTAAACAAATGAAAGCCACGTTTCTGTTGTGAATTGACATTCCCAGTCTTCGGTAGCTCTGTGGGCCGGTTGGTTGAGCCCTAATGAGAGGGTGATCGGAGCTCAAATGCACCTTGATAGAGGAGATATTTTGACTTCAGGCGCAATTCTATCTGATCAGATCAGCTGGAATAAAATTCGCATGTCAGTTGCACGTTAAAAATGGTAGAACACGTTCAACTAAATAAATCGCCAGCGATAACTAATACAAAAGTCAGTAATGAGATCAGTAGAGATGTTCACTCGTGACCCCTGTACCCAAGACACAAGTCTGCTCTCTTCTGAGGGCCAGTATGATAGCACTCTGTTTCTAACCCGTGGCTCTCTCGGCTTCCATGATTCCAGAAACCAGCCTTACCACCTCATTCCTCGGTCCTCTCTCTTCCCCTATTTGCCGTCACTTGAAAACACTCCAACCCAAAAGGTTGAGCCCAAGTTCCGGTAAAGGAGTGAAAAAGAGGTCCTGAGGCCAGGAATTTTGGTGGTTAGAGGTAAAGTGGTGAGAAGCAGAGGAGCACACGAGGTGATAGCGAGCAAATTTATGTCTCAGGGACGGTAGCCGCGACAGTGTTTCAGATGGAAAATTCAACTACACAAAGACAAATATCCTATAGTTAATATCCATTAATTTACAATAAATAATAAATGTATATAATTAGTAATGTTTGCATAAAACTGACTGATTTATTAAGCCAAAAGATAATCATATTAGTTATTAACTCAAAAATCTCACTCTTGTTTTGGTCTATTCCGAGGCACACAAAAAAGCCGGTTATCAAACTCCTGGAAAGGCGAATAGGTCAGAAGAATGTTATACAAAGCACGTATGGACTGAGTTGCAAAGTGGAATATTATTTCAATACTAACTTAAAGACGCACCGATTCTGATAAGCCATATAGTCATATATAGAGAAAATAGATACAAGCATCTCAGTCAGAGTCGGGCTGGATGAGATGCGCATTAAAATTTATAAACGCTAAAAAAAACTTAGAATCGAGTAGTAGAGACTGAATCCTCTCTTATTACGGATTTTCTACGTGATTTTAATGACTAACAAGGTATGTAGATAGAAGGGAACGCATAAATCAATGGTAAATCAGGCCTACCAGCCTCGGCAACATCCCAACCTGTTGCGACCACAATGATCGTGGATGGAAAACCATCAAACGAAGGGAATACAACACCTTAGTCAGTGGAAAACCCCTGGGGGATAAATAGATCTCACAGGCCAAATAGGTAAGCTCATTATAAATGCGTAAATGGGCGGAGGCATTTCCGTTGGAGGCGAAACAACGGCTATGACCTGGCATTTTGGTACAAGTCGGGGAGTGGATAATTAATACAAGATTCTACTTTCAGAGCCATAAAATACAAATGTGTTTAAATTATTATTGAAAATCGGCTAGCTATATAAAAAGTATTTGCGAACTTTGTCTATAATCCAAGTTGGATTATAAATCGGGTCATTCGGTCTATTTCGGAAGTAGTCTTAACCATCTTCCGAATTCCCAGTATATCCCGCAATTAAAAGAGGTAAGATAGCTTAGTTCTTGAAAACTTTGCCTGGACTGCACCGTTTTAAAGCCCCAGACTGGGTCCTGCCCATCAGTAATCATAGTACAGTGGGACAAAAATAGGATTGAAGGTGCCCACGAACGATTCCGTCAAGACATTGGAGTAAGAGAAAAATCTGACTATGGCTGCTAATGTGAGCGATCGAAACCATCCGACTTCATTGTAAATTTCCTCATTTTGAGTAGAAGAGAACT